CATACTAATTGTGAGAATTAATTCAATAAAAGAAGAATACCTTCTGCCATGATATTCAAGCCCTTGAATCTTTGTTCTTGAATGATCAAATCTTGAATATATAAACAAAACCCACTCTCTCATACTAATTGTGAGAATTAATTCAATAAAAGAAGAATACCTTCTGCCATGATATTCAAGCCCTTGAATCTTTGTTCTTGAATGATCAAATCTTGAATATATAAACAAAACCCACTCTCTCATACTAATTGTGAGAATTAATTCAATAAAAGAAGAATACCTTCTGCCATGATATTCAAGCCCTTGAATCTTTGTTCTTGAATGATCAAATCTTGAATATATAAACAAAATCCACTCACAGAACACTTTCACAGAACCATATGGGAGAAGTTGAAGGAATAGAGTTTCAAGTCTATTCTATTTACAAAATAACGTCTGTATTTTGATAGCTATCACATGCATATATAGATAGGTTAGGACCCATGATCCAAATATAACTCCTCATAACTTCCTATCATTAGAGCCATGAAATCACTTTATGGGATAGTGGACATGATTTACGTTAGTTATCCATTATTCTTTAAACTGATTAAATATATATGTAATAAATATATAAAATATTTATATAATAATACAAATAAACATGTGAAATGGGCCACTTTATAGATATTTTTACAGAAAATACTTTAGACATCTAAGCCGTTCGGACTTATTAACCTATTAGGCATAGTTTGGGAAGTTGGTTTTGGTGAGTTAGGGGCTAAAATAGCCACAAAAAACAAAATAGGCTATTTTAGCCACAAAAAATAAAATATCAAATCCAACCCATAATCATTACACTCCTCTCTCACAAAAAAAATCAAAAAAGCTAAAAAATCAAAAAGTCCTTCCCAAACCAGGCTTTTTAGCCCCAGGCTAAAATAGTCAAAAAATTAAGAGTTCGTTTGGTTTGTATTTCTGAAAAATTTTTAGAAAATTTTCTCTACAAATAAGTTTTTAAAAGTAATCAAACCAAACAAATTTTTCCAAAAAAATTTCTCAAAACTTGTAAACCAAACAAGTTTTCCAAACAAATCTCTCTCTTTCACACACATCAAATCAATCACTTTTTCCAAAATTCTCTCTCAAAATAATTTTCTAAAACATCTTTTGAAAAAAATCAAACCAAACAACTTTTCGTACTTTTTATCTCTAAAACACATCTCTCAAATGCAAACCAAACATACCGTAAAAAATAAAAAAGCCAACTCACTTCCCAAACGGTGGCTTAGTTTTGCTCAAACAAACAAAAGATCACTTCTATTTCAGAATTATTTAGTTCAATCCCCATTGATAATCTGCAAATTAAACTAGGGCTAATTTGTCTAGTCATTATTAGCGTACCATCAACATCAGGGGAACGTATCTCCGACTCGTGTCCCATACGGCCAGATGACTAATAATGGTTTGATTAGTAAAAATATTCATCAATCAATCATGTTTCTGACAATGATCTACCGGATTTGGTGTGAACATATCATTGGATTTGATTCCTTCCACATTTTTTTCACACTGTAAAAATGCTAATTCTATGATGCTAAAAAAAATTAAAATGTGTATTGTTAGACAATTTTTATTTTTATTTTTAAAATGAGCTTCTTCAACAAAGTTTGTAAATTTTCTTAAGTTTATGTATACTATGTGTTTGATTTTTGTATTTATAAATTATTTTTTTTTAAAAAGGTTGTGTTTGGTTATATTTTCTAATCATAATTCCACTATTCCGTTTCTATGTACTGTTTGGATAGAGTTTTGAAAATGTAATTTCACTACACATTTCAAAACATATTTTTCTTTCACGTTTGGCAGATTCATACATACTCTTTCTCTCTTTTGTCTTCTCTATTCTGAAAAGCAGAGGAGTTTTTGAATTTTGAGTCTACCCGGTCATCCTCCTGAACGTCCGACCGGTTGACCAAAATAGTTTTTTTTTTCTTTTAAATTTATTTATTTATTTTTTTTTACAATCGCCAATCGCCACTTGTTATTTGAAAAAAAAAATTATATTTTTTTTGATATTTTTTAAATATAGAAATTATTTTTTTTAGACTAAAATGACAAATTATTTTTTTGAATTGAATTTGAAAAAGAATTTGGTTAAGAGTTTTCAATATAGTTTTGAGTTGTGTATTTGGTTATAAGTTATAAGTTTTTAAATTAAGTTTTGAAAACTTTTTTGAAAATTCATAACCAAATAACTTTTCACATTTCATATGTCACATCAAAAATTCAAAATTCAATTTAAAAATTATAACCAAACAAATTTTCTCGTTTTAAATCATAATTTTAAAATTCACAAACTCAAAATACAACTGTATTATCAAATTATAATTCTAAAACTCTATCAACACTACCATAATTATTCTAAAATTTCAGTAATATTAGACACCAAGGACTCAAACATAGAAAAATAGAATACCAAGAAATATAGTGTGGAGTTCAAATTTTTGCTGATTTAGCGGGTCACATTTATGCTGATTTTTTTTTTAACAACTTTTTTGTTTCTAACGAATTTCAATACAAATTAAAAATTAAAATTATAGATGACGATAATGTATGTTACTTAATTTTGAAATCATTAAAAAAATGATAAATTTAATATAATACATCTTCAAAGTTAACATAAATTAGAAGAGAAATGTAAAATGAGTTTATAGTCAAATTTTATATATAGGCATACAGATAAATATATATATATATATATTTTAAAAAATTCTCAATCTTAGAATAAATATGGATTTGTTAGTAAAAATCTAGTTTGCATCGTATTGATAGAAATAAATATGGACTTGTTAGCAAAAATTTGATTTGAGTCGAATCGATAGGGTTGAGTTGATAAAAAAATAAAATCTAGATTAAGTAATTGTGGTGGAGTATGTTTGCCTTTACAAATTCAAAGACTTCTTTAATGGTTATAGTGTGAAAAAACAAACACAAACTGAATTGAAGTAATTGAAATTATTACTGATTACATGAATTAGAAATAAAAAAATGTTTGGGGGTCCGAATTTTTGTGACTCGAATGTGTCAAAATGACGTCGTTTTACATCTAAAACGACGTCGTTTTAGGTATTTTGAGCTATTCGAGACATATTTTTTCGGACCACCTATCATTGTTGTTAGAAATAAGAACAATAAAATATTTACAAATTAAGAACTAAAATTGTAGAGAAACTACTCCTAAAGAGATTGTAACTACTCCTAAAGAAATTCTACTCCTACATATCTATTCTAACTCATGTGTTCAATGTTGATGATAATTGATCCCTTTTTGTTTCGTCCTCCTGCCTATTTATCGGCTTATAACCATAGGGTTCCTTCCAAAACAACTGCCCAAGGCAGTTCCACAAAGCAGTTCTTCAATGATAAAGCAACTCATAATTCCAGCATCAACCCATGCGTGTCAACTGCAATTGCCTCCACTACGTCAGTCTTGTTTGGGAGGAATTTTTTTTAGTCTATTTTTTTTTTAATTTATTAGTTATTTTAACTTAGCTAAATAAGTTTCGTTTATGATGAATTTTCAGTTTTTCTTTTTTTTTAAAAAAAAAATTGTGAGAAACACAATAAAAAGATTATGATTTAAATGTAATATTTTATCTTATTAATTTTTAATTTATTTTATTTTTAATAGACTAAATTAGTACCTATCATCTTGCCAAACGAGGCCTTATGTATTCAATTGCCTCTTGCACAAGTAGTAACATCATAATAATAATATAAAATACTCCCTCCGTCCCAAAATATTAGTCCCTTATTCCATTTTTCATTGTCCCAAAATATTAGTCCCTCTTCAAAAATCAAGTACAAAAATAATATAAATTTCCTATTTTACCCTTCTTTTAAATTAATAAACAACATAAAAAGTACAATTATGCATTGATATTCTCAAAAAATGTACTATCAAAAGGATAATTTTGGAAAATCAACTTTTTTTCAAATGCAATAATTGTACTACCAAAAAAAGTTGGATTCCCCAAAAGGGACTATTATTTTGGGACGGAGGGAGTATAAAATAATAAGTGTTTGTGACTATAATTTTATATTAAAAATAATTTATAATATGAATCGACAGACTAAAATCTACTAGTCATAATTAATAAAATTAGATTTAGACACAATTCATAGGCTACAATCAATTAAAATAGATTGGACCATAATCGTCAAATATAGAAAATTAAAATAGGGATATCTAGATATAAAAAAAAATATATGGTTCGGTTGATACTAAAATTTTATAATTTTATATTAAAAATAATTTATAGTATGAATCGACAGATTAAAATCTACTAGTCATAATTAATAAAATTAGATTTAGACACAATTAATAGGCTACAATCAATTAAAATAGATTGGACCATAATCATCAAATATAGAAAATTAATTTTTAGTATCAACCGAACCATATATATTTTTTTATATCTAGATATCCCTAGTAATACTGCTAAAATTTTATCAAAAAATAGTCCATGTACTCAATTTTTTTTAAGGAAAATGATATACAAGTTTACTTTTAAATCCATTTTTTAGACTCAATGATGTATCAAGAAGATGATAAATTTAAATATCAACCAATCATCCTCTTGACACATTACTAAATTCAGAAAGTATGCCTAACTTTTAGATTTTTTTTTTTTTTTAAAATTACTGTTATGGAATTTGTTGATGATTCACTTTTATAAGTGAAGGGGTTGAAACGAACATTCTTCATTACGCTATGTTTGATTAGGAGATTTGAAAAGAAATTTGAAAAAAAATAAAAATATAAATAAAATATAAGTATATTTTATTTATTTCACACATTTTCTTTTTCTTTTTTTTTATTTCTAAATCACTTTTCAAATTTCTCAAATGTGAAACCGTTGGGGGCAACTTGGAGCGCGTCTGTAATGGAGAATATAAAAGTCAAGTTAATCAGCCGTGGGGCCTTGCACTAACCAACATCCTTATAAATATCTTTCCTTCCACTTGTGTTCGTGTCGTGTCCGTTATCTTTGGCATCAGAGAATTAAAGAGGATGAAAAAGATGACTTTTCCCAACTTCCTCTCATTTATCTGTCTCGCCTTATTGTCCCTCTTCTCCCCAGCGTTGCTTGCATCTCCTGCTGCGTTGTTATTTCAGGTACATAACATAAGCCTTGTCATCATCCACATGTATACTGCAAATCATTCTCTCCATCTCCTACTTATGCTGTGTTTGGTTGGGAGATTTAGGAAGGGATTTAGAAAAGGAAAGGGAAAAGGTGTGTGAAACTATGTGAAATATAAGCATGATTTATTCATATTTCGCCTACCTTTTTTATTTCCCTTTCCAAATTCCTCCCCAATTCCCCCAACCAAACACAACATTAGTTATTTCAGACATACATGTGATATTTATAATTTATCATATATGATGCTGATTGATGGAATTTGATGATGATAATGATATTAGGGGTTTAATTGGGAATCAAGCAATAAGCAAGGAGGATGGTACAACTCCCTTATCAACTTCATTCCAGACCTGGCTACTGCTGGAATTACTCATGTTTGGCTACCCCCATCCTCTCACTCTGTTGCATCCCAAGGTCATACTCATACATAACCCTTCCTATTATTATATGTTTCTCTATTATGCTATTATTGGCCATTTCTTTTCTATTATTTGCATGCCATGAGTTTCATTTAATAGAAATTCTATTACACACAACCTTAAAAAAATGAAAACATATTATGACACTAGATTTGAAAAATAATTGTGATTTATTGATCGTAGCTATTACAAGTTGTAACTTACTTCACTTTAGGACATAGTAGAAAACACTTTGATCATCAACTTTGATTTAACTATTAAAAAATTATATGTACCTCTGTTTCATGAAAATTATCTCCATTTTTTTCAAAATAATGCATTCAATTAATTGGGATTTGGTGATTAGTTTGAGAAACTTTAAGAAGCAGCGTTTGTGCTGAAAGTTCCAAATCCCAACTGTCTTTTTGGTTGTTTCAATTACTCAGTCAAGCTTTCCTAACATTAAAAGCGCATTAGTTGTTGCATGAATCTGAAGTCAACTAGATCCTAACAAAATCATAGTTGATTAAGGATTTGGGTTTGATAAGAGCTCATAATACGTAACAACTAATCAGTAAAACACAAATACACGCACGCGCACCAAAAAAAAAAAAAAAAAAATAGTAGCTTTGAGTCAGGAGTGAACCTGTAACATATGATGGGTTCTGAGTTTATGTTCAACTAAAAATAGCCAATAGATGTTGAATTTCTCATAATCTCACTGTTTTCTCCTCTGTTTACCCAGGGTACATGCCAGGAAGATTGTATGATCTCAATGCATCCCACTATGGAAATGAATTCGAATTAAAAACATTGGTTAAAGCCTTCAATAACAAAGGGATCAAATGTGTCGCTGACATTGTAATAAACCACAGATGTGCCGAAAAGCAAGACAGCAGAGGAATATGGTGCATCTTCGAGGGAGGAACCCCCGACAACCGCCTTGACTGGGGTCCCTCCTTTATTTGCAAAGACGATACTGAATACTCTGATGGCAAGGGAAATCTTGACACTGGGGACGACTTCAAACCTGCCCCTGACATTGACCACCTCAACCCGACGGTACAGAAAGAACTATCTGATTGGATGAATTGGCTCAAGACAGATATCGGATTCGCTGGATGGCGATTTGATTTTGCCAAGGGATATAGCCCGAGCATCACCAAGATCTATATGCAAAATACTTCGCCAGATTTTGCTGTTGGGGAGTATTGGGATTCGCTTTCTTACGGGCAGGATGGGAAACCAGACTATAACCAGGACCAGCACAGGAACAGGCTGGTTCAGTGGGTTCAGACAGGGGGTGGTTCTGTTAAAGCATTTGATTTTACTACCAAAGGGGTTCTTCAAGCTGCTGTGGAAGGCGAGCTGTGGAGGCTGAAGGACTCGAATGGAAAGCCACCGGGGATGATTGGGGTTTTGCCAGGAAATGCTGTGACTTTCATTGACAATCATGATACAGGTTCTACTCAGAAGCTTTGGCCTTTCCCATCTGACAAAGTGATGCTAGGATATGCCTACATTCTCACACATCCCGGGACTCCATCAGTGGTAATTCCTCTTCCTCATTTTTTGCTTTTTGTATTTTTGAAAACAGAAAACGAAAATGAAAACAAGCTGTTGCTGCTATTTTGCAGTTTTATGACCACTTCATTGAGTGGGGGCTGAAGGATCGAATAGCTACATTGGCTGCAATTAGGAGAAGGAATGGGATCGGTGCAACGAGCACAGTGCAGATTATGGCTGCTGATGCTGATCTATATGTAGCCATGGTTGATAATAAAATCATTGTCAAGATTGGTCCAAAGCTTGATCTTGGAAATCTTATTCCACCTAATTTTCATGTTTCTACCTCTGGCAATGACTATGCTGTATGGGAGAAATAGCACCCAAAAAAAAAAAAATGTATGTTGAAAAGTCACCAGAATAATACAGTGTGTTTGGTTTGAGTTTTTTGAATTAAATTTTTTAAAAATTGAGTTTTTTGATTTTCGCGTTATTTTGTTTTTAGTGAATATTTTTAAAATTTTAAACATATTTTTTACTTTTTTAGATGCACCTTACTTTGATGTATCTAAAAAGTAAAAAATTTGTGAAAAAATATTTTTAAAAATTAATAAATACATAAAAATACAAAAAATGTACTGAATTCTCGTATTTTTTTTTTTTGTATTTTTGGTATTTAGTGAATTTTTAAAATTTTTTTTTTTACTTTTTAGGTATATATTTATTTTAGGCATGTCTAAAAATTAAAAAAATCGCTCAAAATATTAAAAAAATTAAGTAAAAACAAAAAAACACGAAAAATAAGAAGTAGAATTTTCTGAAAAGTATTTTTGAAAAATAATAGCCAACCATGCTGATTAGTATTATGGACTCAAGAAAGTCTAATATAACATCTTTATTTACCTCTTGTTGCTTCCATTCTCTAGTAAGGCTGCAAATTAGCCGAATTTTCAAGTGTTCTGGGCTTTCTGAAAATAAAAAATTAGTTGAGTTAGAGGTCTAGCTGAGTTCAAGTCCAACTTAAAAGTTCATGCTCAAGCTTGGGCTTAGAAAGAAAAATAAAAACCTAAAATTAACATGCACATTAATAAAAAAAATGTTAGCAAAAGGGAATACCAAATCAATTTTCTAAGCATATCCTTTGTGACTATGGTTATTACAATAGTAATAATCATCATCATACAGCCTGAATTAACACTTTTCAAATTATATCATTATGAATATGTTGAATGTTGGTCTAGTCAGAAATCATCAAGATAATTGTATAAAATTGGTTTACTTAGCCTTTAGATTCATTAGTTAACGTATCTCACTCTTGTCATCCGCTTGTAGGTAAAAATGCTGGGTCAAAAAAACTCAATAAAGCATCAAGATCAGGCCTCGTTTGGCAAGTGACTCTTTTAGCTAAAAAGTCAAAAAATCATTAAAAAAAACTAAAAAGTCAATAACCTATACTAAAAAGTAAAAAATTCTCTTTTCTCTCTACTTTTTGCATATCTTTTCGTAAAAAGTTAAAAAGTCATCTCAAACATACTAATTTTTTTTAGCTCATATTTTAACAAAATAGCTAAAAAGTTACTAAATTAACTTGTTCTCAAATGATCATTATTGTCACGCGGTACATTATCTGCCAATCCTGCAATAAACAACCCAAAAAGCGCAAAGGGACGGCAAGTCTTGCCCAGACCAAACAAAGCAGAACAAAAGGGATAATTACCAGAAAATGAAGTAAAACAGACTCCAACAAAGAAGCATAAGAAGTGAAAGACGGAAAGGAGTCCCACACTCCCACTTACTAGAAGGAGAGATGAGCCACCCACCCCACCCACAAAATAACAAGGAACAGTAAGGGTCACTCCAAAAAAGAAAAGAAAATGCTGAGAGAAAAATCAAAGGGAAACTCTGGCTCTCATTCTAGAGAGGGAAATTTTACACTAGTTATTATGTATGTACTGCTAAATTTAGTTCATAGGATTTTTTGTATGAAAATTTATCAATAAGTCTGAAGGTAAAGAGTACTGAACACACAGAATATGACATAGATGTCTCATAAAATATGACATAGATGTCTCATAAGAGATGGAACTTACATGATTTGAGATATACATGCGAGACCCACCCCTCGTAATATATTTATATTTCATTCATTCTGCATTTAGTTTTTATGTTTTTAACATTATTAAAATTTATTAATAATGGAAATCAATCATTCACAGTCAACTTGATTTTGTGATTGGGAACAAGCTCTGTTGTAGCACTCCCAATCATATAAAATGTGAACACTTCTTTTTGTTTTAGTCCTTTATTAAACACTTGGTTTAATTTTGGAACAGTTAACGCAGGGTTAAATTTTCTGACCAAACATCGTATAAAATACTTAGCCTGTGTTTGGCAAGTGAGTTTGCAGGCTTTTTTGGCTATTTTAGCCACAAAAAACAAAATAGGCTATTTTAGCCATACCAAACAAAACATCACATCCAACCCATAATCATTATATTCTTCTCTCACAAAAAAACTCAAAAAAGCTAAAAAGCCAAAAAGCCCTTCCCAAACCAAGCTTTTAAGCCCAGGCTAAAATAGCCAAAAAAGCCAAAAAGCCAAAAAGCCAACCCACTTCCCAAACGGAGGCTTAGACATCTAATCTTAGCAGTTTTGGACTTGTTTATCTCATTACTTTTGCACAAAAACAAACAAATGGTTACTTTATTTTAGAATATTTATGTATTTTTAGGAAGATGATTAAAAGTTAAAAATCAACTTTTAACATATTTTGGGTCACATTATTTCTCAATTTTTTTATAAGTTTTTTAAAAAAAAATTAAAAAATTAATTTTTGACCGACTTTTCAAAATCATCCTTAATTCAATTTTCATTACTTATCCACAAATTAAACCAGGCCTGATTAGTATAGTCATTAGCGTACCGTCAGCATCAGGGGATTGCGTCACATATCTCGTTTGTGTCCCACACGGCCAAACTTGACTAACTGTTTGATTAGCAAATATTCATCAATCAATGATTTTTCTCACACCAATCTAAAAAAAAAATGATTTTCTGACAAAGATCTACCGGATTTGGTGGAACATATTGGGAAGAAGCTAAAAAAAAGTTAGTTTTTTTATACACACAAAAAAAAGTCATAAAAAAATTATAAAAATGGTTAATTTTATTAACACAAAAAAGTTAAAAAATTATTAAAAAAAATAAAAAAATCAAATTTTTACCAATTTCATAAAACACCACGTATTGGATATGATTGGTTTCACATATTTCTCACTATAGATCTAACATTATTGTAAAAAGATTGGAAATAACTTAGGCTTGGTTTGACATATCAAAAAAAAAGTCAAAAAGTCACTATTCTATTTAAGTCACATCATCTTATTTCAGTCACATCACCTCTCTACCACATCACTTCAAACCCAACCTACATCCAACCCATATTTTATAAAAAGTCAAAAAGTGCACTTATTTCTGTTTCGATAATCAGAACCGTTTACTTTGTAAAAATTTTTAATGTATATTATCTATGGAAAAAAAATATGCCAATCCAATAATTGTAACTGTTAGAATGGTTGAAAGAAATATGGGAAACGTGTATCTGTATTATATTGAATTAAAATTGAATACAATAAGAGAGCCTGTACTTATAGGCTGAACACAAACCTAGATAAATATATATATATATATATATATATAGAGAGAGAGAGAGAGAGAGAGATACAAGGAGATAGAGATAAAGGCCCTGTTTGGTAGGACTTATTTCCAGCTTATTTCAGCTTTTAGTTTAATTTAAGCTATTTTGATATATTTGGTTCAGTTTAACAATACAGCTTATAGTTTTTTGTAAGTCAAAAATTAACTTATTCCTTGAGTGGGGGAGGAGAAGCTTAATTTATAAGTCAAAAATCAGTTTATGTTCACAATTATAAACTATAAACTGTTAAACTATAAACTATAATCAATTTCCCACAACTCTACCAAACGAGGCCAAAGAGCGATAGAGATAAGCTATATCTATAATATAAAGAGATAAATATAATTCTAAATCTAATATATACATTAACAACCCCCCTCAAACTCAAGGTGGGTAAGCATTAACCAACTTGAGTTTGGAAACTAGATCACTGAAACGACTAGGAGAATGAGCCTTGGTGAAAATATCAACAGGTTGATCAACAGAAGAAATAGAGATGAGATGAACAGTGTCACGTGTAACATGCTGTTGAATGAAATGACAATCAATCTCAATATGTTTGGTGCGATCATGAAAGACATCATTGTGAGCAATCTACACTCTGATTATCACAATGGAGAGATGTGGCGCCAAGGGAAGAAACACCCATATCAGCAAGGAGCCAGTGAAGCCATAAAAGTTCCTTAGTAGTGTCAGCAAGAATGCGGTATTCAGTTTCAGTACTAGAGCGAGCAGTAAGAGACTGTTTCTTGTTGCGCCAAGTAAGAAAAGAATCTCCTAAGACGAAATAGAAACCCGTGGTGGAGCGTCGATCCGTAGGATTCCCAGCCTAATCAGCATTAGAAAAGACACGAAGCTCGAGAGAAGAGTGAGCAGAGTAGTGGAGTCCATGGAACATAGTGCCTTTGAGGTAGCGAAGTATGCGAAGTAGAGTAGTGTAATGCGGGGTATGGGGAGCTGACATGTGCTAACTAGCAAGATGGACAACATAGGCAATGTTAGGACGAGTCACAGTGAGATAGACAAGACTACAGACCAGCTGGCAATAAAGAGTAGCATCAGAGAGAAAATCCCCGTCTAGAGGAGTGAGACGAGTTTGAGGATCAACGGGAGTAGAGGTAAGTTTGCAATCGGTAAGACCAGCACGTGCCAGAAGATCAGATGCATATTTGGCTTGTGACAAATAATAACCAGTGGAATCATGAGAGATTTCAAGCCTTAAGAAATAATTAAAAGTACCAAGGTCCTTCATCTCAAACTGACAATTGAAAAATTGTTTGAGACTAAGAATACTAGCCACATCATCGTTGGTGATAATTATATCATCCATGTAAAGAAGAAGAAGAGTGGTGCCATGAGGAGTGGTCCGAACAAATAGAGCGGAGTCATATGAGCTGGAGGTGAAGCCGAAGTCATGGATGGTGGAACTGAATTTTGCGAACCAAGCTCGTGGGGCTTGCTTGAGACCATAGAGAGCACGTTGTAGTTTGCAAACTTTATGAGCCGAATAAGCAGACCCAAGGGGAGGTTGCATGTAGACTTCCTCAAGAAGATCACCATTAAGGAAGACATTTTTGACATCCATTTAAAAAAGATCCCAGTGGCGAGTAGTGGCAACAGTAAGTAAGGTACGCATAGAGATAAGCCGAGGATAATCACCGGTGATAATCATATCATCCACGTAAAGCAGAAGAAGAGTGGTGCCATGAGGAGTGGTTCGAACAAATAAAGCGGAGTCATATGAGCTGGAGGTGGAGCCGA